AACTTCATAAACATTTGAGTTGGAACAAACACATTGCCAATGTATATGGTGAAATGATGCTGAATAGATCTATATCAAATGGCAGGTGTTTTGATAGTTATCATTAGCCCTTTAGCTGACTTCAGGCCTCATAGAGGGGAGGAACACCAAAATGTAAAAAACTCGAGAGGGGGAAGAGAAGAGTGTTTCAAAGATGTAAGAGACAAACACAAAGGTAGAAAAAGGTGAGGTAAGTACTATGAGAATAGTCGAATATGGCATAGAGTGAGGTGATGGTATTTTGAAGTCAGAAGTCAACTGTCGGCTAATAGACTTTTTGCCGTATGAGTATACGTTGCCCAGGCTCCACCACGTAGAGGTAGGTCCATCGCGAGCCCCATGCTGAATAGATGGAATACGGAATATCAATTAAACGTCATATCCCAATATTGCATTCAACTTGACCCTGGAGATTTCAAACACAAAGTGTTCAAAAGGACAAAAGTCCCTAATTGATTTAAAATACTATTTTTGGTTGGATGAAAATTCGTATTCGTGAATAGGGGTGTGAAAGTTTGTACAAATAATTCACACTTTGTTAATTTTGATCTGTAAAAGCGGAAATCTTTGTGATTACAATTAATAATGAGATATTTCGTTGATCCTAATCCCCAATATTCCAATATTCATTTAATCAACCTGTTATGCATATTGGCTATTCGATCTTGTATGCGTTTTATTGATAGTGAACAAATATGTCCTTGAAAAGAAGCAGATTTCTCCATTTCAAGCAATGAACTGTCGTGATTGTGATTTAAAACCAAACACCAACTATGTTTGTGTCGTGCTTCATTCTAAAGCCCACTTCTTTGTTTTATGCTGACGGAGCAGTGTGTAATTTTAAGATCAAATTTGTAGATGGCTTTTATTAACCCCAGTGTCATTCTATTATAATTATTTCTAACAAATGGCAGGCACTATGATAGTTAACATTAGCCCTTCAGTAGACTTGGGTCTTCACTGGGAGGAGGAACAACATAAAGTGATTCACAGATGTGAAAGTGTCAGACAAAAAAGTGGAGAAAAAGGTAAGGTGAGTACTGTGAAAGTGGTCGAATATGACAAGGTAAGATGAGTACTGTGAAAGGGGTCAAATATGACAAATAGTCGAGGTAAGATGAGTACTGTGGAAGGGGTCGAATATGACATACGGTTGAGGTGAGTACTGTGAAAGTAGTCGAATATGACATACAATAAGGTGAGTACTGTGAAAGTGGTCGAATATGACATACAGTCGGGTTATGGTAGTTGAAGTGAGAAATCGACTATCGGTTTATTGATATTTTGCCCAGGGTGCACCACGTGGAAGCAAGTCTACCGTGTACCCCCATCCTAATATTTATCAAAATGATAATAATTGTTCATGATGGGGCCTACCTGTGAAAACCCGATTAAACTGCATGCCAATGCCAATGTTTAGAGCAAACGCAATTGGTTGATGTAAAAAGGCGTTGATATCGTTCAGGCAACGGGAGAAAATACAGTCGGCATTCTAGACAACCTTGAAATTATTTACATTTAAGCTGTTTTTAAGGGAAGGTGGGGTGAGGGAATGGATGTGGGGGAATTAGTACTAAGAATTTTCTAGTTCCCCTTCTTCCCAAATCTGTTAATATTTTTAGAAAAAGACAAAACCTGTATTAAATGGCACAGCGTCAATTTTAAAATGCATATCAATACTTTTGATGCCTAACAAGATTGTGTGTGGGCAGAGTACAAATTGACGTCAATCAGCAGACCTTAAATTATTTGGTTTCTGGAATACCCACATTATCAGTTTTTATTTGGTGATAAGAGGCCGTTTTTATGAAATTCTATTTCTTGAATCTCTTCTAATAACCTATTTTTAATCCCTTTAAGACAAATGATAGATTACACAATTGTTATCCCTGTCACCATATTCATTGTTGCCAATTCGTTGATAGAATTAGTAGTAGTCTTTTGGAGGTGTTTTATTGGCATTCGCGGGAAGTGGGAATTAGCGTAGGTGGACGAATCATGATGATTTTACCTGCCTTCTCAATTAATTTACATTGAGAGTCCCTTCAGGGAGCTTGCACAAAAAATAATTATTATCCTCTAATTTTTCATTCAAAATGGTTATATTCATTAAACTTGCTTCTTTTTCATGCCCGCTTGTGTGATATGATAAATTAGTTCTAAAATTTACGAATATATATATATATACGAATAAGCCAAAATATTTGCTAGATAATCTTCATATGCGATATTCTATTTTATCGGTACTTTATATGAGCTAAATGCTTTAATTCTTTCCTTATATCGAAAGAAATATTGTAGTCATCTGAAAAATTCCTGTTGATTGGCCTTGCTATTAGTCGCTGGATGAATTTACTTGCTTGAAGAATGCCAAATAAAAACGTGTAATGTAGGCAAAATTGTCATATGGTAACTTTTATTAAGTCATTTGTATACCCTTAATGGATCCCAGATCAAAAATTGTGAGGTATTAGATATTTCTTAAGTCATGCTTTTTTATTTTCGAATTTGGACGTGCGTTAAAGAATATATGGGAAAAAACGATAGAAATCGCAAATACTCATTTTGGCTATCAGGCTATGAAAAAATAAGGAAAAATTAAATCTATCAATTAATTAAAGAGATCCATGAAAAAAATATGGCCAAATATAGGTGCAATTGCTAAAACAAAGGACTATAAAAGTTAAATCGTAAAGCTAGTCATAGTTGATTTTCCATGAAGATAGTTTTAAACCTAATGGAGCTCTAACAGTTTCCTTTTTGACATTTAAAAGGCCAAAAGTACGAATATGTACATTTCAGTAGTTTAGAGAAAGGACAGAGATTGTTTTTTTTAAGAAGGGTGTGTGATAGACTAACCTCCACGTCAAAATATCTATAAAGTGGCAGTTGATTTTTCACTTCAAACCACTATGATCCGACTCTATATCATATTCGATTACTTCCACAGTACTTTCCTTACCTTAATCTTTTCTCTATCTTTGTGTTTGTCCCTTTTACATCTATGAATCACTCTACTGTTCTCCCTCTTCACTTTTTCTCACTTTGTTCCTCCCATTTGTGATGTCCGAAGTCAACAGATGCTAATGATAACTATTACAAACCTGCCAATTGAGATAAATAAATATTTCAAGAAAAATCATTTTAATAACGTGCAATGCTCACTTAATCTCACTTAATCTAAATCTGAAGAACAGAAGAGGGGAGACAACCATCGCCTTTCGTATAGTACAATTTGGGTTTAAGTACTCACTTTGAAGTCTCATGAGTTTAACAACTTACTTCGGGTGATTCCAATGTTAATCAAAGTATAAAAAAATATTTTAAAGAAAGTTGAAAAATGGAAACCCTGATCAATGGAAGAGATGAATGAAATATGTAGATATCATGCAGATTACTAATGAACCATTAAAGCCCCATAACATTGGGACAACAATTTTTTATAAATCATATAGCCGATATATTTACCTCTTATTAATTACCTTTATTTGGAGATTCGATATTGACCCCAGCTTTCTACAGAGTGGCTTTAGAAGCAATAGAAAAATCGATTGTTAATTCGAAAACAGTGAAATGTTAAAGTTGTGCTTAAATACCAGTTTTAATGAGTCTTAGCAACAATCCTAACGTAATGTCCTTTTATTGGATTTTGGGACAAGTACTCGAATTCAGTTGAAATTCGTCATATTTCAAGTTCAAAATTTGGCATTGATTTTTCATGCTTTGGTTAGGAATGTCAGTTCGCATTGACAAGTTGGTGGCAGTTGTAAGTATCTTGAATGGCTAGGAATGAATAAGGGTACTGAAAATTCTCCCCTCTCACCCCACCCTCTTTTTTGGCCAATTGGAAAATAAGATTCATAGTTGACGCGCATGGATCGAATCTTCCATTTACCAATCAGCTGGATGGTGCTTCTTAAACGGTGCCTATTGGCTACCTCAAAGAATTTGCAAATTTACAGCTTTATGAGACTTCAATCTATTTGGAAAGTAATAGCACCTAAAACGCCAAGCTTTCTGCTTCGTTTACGACGAATTCTAAATAAAGCTTTAAATACTTTTCTGTGTCTGAAATCATCAAAATGGACGACATGTAAGTTGTTATTTTGTAATTCCATTCAATTCATTAAAAAGTTGTTTTACTATTTTATTTCTTTGATGCATATTTTTGCGTGAATAATGCCTGGAGAATTAATATAAATTTTCCGAACATACTTTGTTTAAGCAATCACTATAAAGGAGAGATTATCTAGTATTATTTTTTTAATTTTGAAAAGCATTCCACTAAACTTCGAACTATCAAACATTTACTACGTTCATTATCCTTTTGCAACTAACAGAAAATATTTTGCATCATTATGTGCCAGGAATCGCGAAGTAATTTATTTTATTTCGGAATAGAATATTTGCTTTATGACAACCAAATGAGTGTTTTTCTATTTTGATGACATTAATTTGAGAATTAGTAATATTTTCATACATGGAATGTTCCTAGTACAATAGCGATACTTTATTAGTCTTTTAATGCGGTTGAAAGAGACAAAATTACACAGACTGTAGTAATGAAATATAGACATTTTATTAAACACGTCACGTTGTTCAAATATATTTTTGAATATAAAGTTAACTGAGCAAATTATGTGGGTTTGAATTCCGTTTGGTCTCCAAAAGGGCTCTACTTTTGGAAGTATGTTTTTACCATCGAAATAGCATTCGCATGAATCATGATAAATGATCCAACCGAATAGAGCACCAAGACATTGCACTTAGGAAGGTAAGAAGTGTAAGAACAAATAGCCGACGATTTCTGAATGAACCATTGCCCATGACATGAAGAATTTATTAGTTATTTTACTTAATTCAATGTTTGACCAAGGCCTCTCGATTTATTTATGACTTCTTATTGTTAAGCTCTAGCACTTTAAACTACTCTAGAAGCTTTGGCATAGCAAAACTTAATAGAATTTTATTGAACTTAATATGAGTAAAATTATCAAATAATCCTCTTTTTAAGTAAAGGACTTTCCAAATTAAAGTCAATATACTGTTCTAACGACGATTCGATTAGTTTACAAAATTAATCAAGAATTTCTTTGAGGTTTAATGCAAATTAAAATAAATGAATGGTGAAAGTGACAAAAATTCCACTGTGATATGTAAAAGTTGAGTTATTCATCTGTTTAGTTTATAAATAATTTGATGAACTGGTCTGATTGTTGTGGGAAGGCCAGGTTAATAAGAATATATACCCAATTTCTAGAAGTGTAGCCTTCTATGTATTTGAGAAGCCCTGTTTCGTATTAATTATATTTCTATTTTAAAGTAGGGTTTTACTACATGTTCCTTTAATGCATACGAGTGGCCCAAAAGTTCATGGGCCGACGATTGCCGTGTTAAATATGTTAGAAATCAAAATAAAGTATTATGAGTGTTTACCGCTAGATATACAACCTGACTAAAAACAAAAAGAGCACGGTTTAGGCACTATATATGATACATTGGTTCCAAATATTAATTTTTGAAACAGATGTCAATTTTATTACTTGTTTCATATTGAGTACTTATGCATAATTTTCACTATTGTATTGATGAAGAGTCTTTGAGATTAGCAGCAATTTGATAATTATAAAAAATTAGAGCTTTACCAGATCTGAAAGCCCAAATATTGTATTTTCTAATTATTTGGTGATTTTCGTCGAAAAAATGAAAGATTATGAAAGAGAAAGTAAGTTTACCATTACACCGTTTTATTAATGTAAATTAAGAACAAGATTCAATTAGCAACAGTACTTTTCAATATTGAAATTACTGTTTCGGTTCTATATAATGTAAGCGTTAATTTATTTTATTCTGCAATTATTAGCAATTCTGAGCGCAACTAATTAAAATCTGAATGTCACAATTAATAAAATCGATATTTAGTTACAACTAAATTAAGGACCAACTACCTAGAAATGCCTAAAACTCAGCCAAACGATAGTAATTATTATAAGACCTTGAGAGTTTGTTTGAATTTTCCGTAGCGCTGGTTGATTGAGCTCAGACTTAACATTGACCTTGTCTCATCCAATTAGAATCGCCGAAATTAACCAGCGCGGAAAGGAGTACGAAGAAGGATATGTTGGCTCAGATGTAGACGAAGAGATGCCGCAAGCTGAACGCGACCTAGCTGAGGATGCTCAATGGAAAATATTTCAAAAGAACACATTTACTCGTTGGGCAAATGAGCATTTAAAGCAAGCAAAGACATCTGTCGATGACATCCAAACGGACTTTTCAGATGGTCTAAAATTAATACGTTTGGTGGAAGTATTATCAGGGAAAAAATTCCTCCATATGAATAAAAGGCCAACATTTAGAACGCAAAAATTGGAAAATGTTACAATGGTTCTCAAGTTTCTTGAGGACGATGAAGGCCTAAAACTTGTCAACATCGGTAAATAATATTTTAATTTATATCATTAAATTTCCTAACTTATAGACAGTACTGATATTGTTGATTCTCGACTGAAACTTATTCTTGGGTTAATTTGGACACTTATTTTGCATTACTCTATCTCTATGCCCATGTGGGAAGGTGAAGAAGAATTGCCACAGGTACACACATTTTCATAAGTATTTGTTTGCCCTTAAAAGTTATTTTTCACCTCATCTCATTTTGCTTAAATTATTTTAATAAAGTCTCCGGAAGATGAAGTAAGCTTTTGCACCTAATCAGACAACACTGATTTTGATGTGTCACCATTTTTGGTTAAATCGCTTCATTTACTACTTTTTTCTTATTCAAGGATCCTAAAGGCAAAGGTCCAACTCCTAAACAACGTATTCTTGCTTGGGCTAACTCAAAGATGCCTGATCGTCCTGTTAAGAACTTGACAACTGACTGGAACAGTGGTATTGCCATCGGTGCCTTGGTGGATGCTTGTGCACCTGGTCTCTGTCCAGATTGGGATACGTGGAATCCCAAAAACCCCCTTAAAAATGCTACAGAAGCTATGAATGCTGCACAGGAATGGCTGGATATTCCTCTCCTCATAAGACCCGAGGAAATGATTGATCCTAAAGTTGATGAAAAGGCAATGATGACGTACCTTAGTCAATTTCCGAATGCAAAACTCAAGGAAGGGGCTCCATTGCGACCTAAGATCAATCCCGCTCGTATTCGAGCTTATGGACCTGGTAAATAAATTCAATTCTTCTTTGTGGTGACTTAGGACTGTTGTAGTAACTCTGATGGGCATAATGTTAATTTTAACATCATATTTCCCCGTGTAGTTATTAATCTCAAAAAGTAATTTATTTTTCAGCAGTCATATTGGATAAAGTAAGACTCCATGAGGTATTTTATTTGAGTTGCTGAATCTCTAATTATTTGAAATCGTTCAATATTTTATGGATCTCAGATTAAGAACCTTTTTCTGATTGTACGTAAATACTGCAACTTCATTACCTATTAAAATTATGAACAAACTGTATTAGAAATGAAAATATAGTCCCCCTTTTCATGGTCGTGTTTAATAATTGAAAAAAACACTAATTTCTTGCTTTTTACGGATTGTTTGAATCCTATATCGTACTTTAGGCCTTGAGGAGACTGGAAACACAGTCAATACTATTGCCAAATTCACTGTGGAAACATTTGCTGCTGGTCGTGCTGATCTTGAAGTTATCATCTTGACAGCAGGAGGTGCCACTATTCCAGTGAGTAAAATCTTTTACTATTTCCTTCAACCAATATGTAATAAACATGCTTTATATGAGTATTTTGTGGCGACAATTTGAATTTAAAATATTGTCTTTCTTCTATCCCCTATTCTTCTCCTCCTTTAGTGTGAAGTTGTGAAAAATAATGATCGCAACCTCACCTACTCCTGCAGTTACGTGCCCAAAGCTGAAGGTCAATACCGTATAATTATCAAATACGCAGGCAAAGAGATTCCAAACTCGCCCTTCCTTGTTAATGTTCAGGGCGCTCCGGGTGATCCCAAGAAGGTTACTGTCTCTGGACCTGGTATCGAAGAAAATGGCGGTAATTGTGTTGGTCGCCGCACGTTTTTCAATGCTTTCACGAAAGGTAGGGTCAGTTGGAATCAATAACTTATTTATTGCTATAATTATCATTAATGTCCTTGGTGTATGCTGATTAAGTTTAACCCTTTAATCAAAATATAGCATTTCAATTTGTAGAAACTCTTAGTTTCTTGAACATGGAAAATTAGGTGAATAAGGATTTATTTCATCAACCAACATCTTTATATTCTGTGCTTTCATTCAATTCAAGTTGAAACCAAGTCCGCTTGGTTAGCCTGTTCATATAAAAAATACCCATTTACGAAGGATAATTATTAAAAAGACGAGAGCGGCACTTGTTGCCTTGATGCTTGTCTACCAAATGTCGCACACTAGTAAACGGTAGCAGAACTCGAATATGTTACCTAGAGGGCTCCATGATCATGCATCTCTATGCAAAGCAAATGCTGGAAGGGACTTTTGTAACATTACAGCATATATATTTCAGTGATCGCTTATTTCACAAACCACATGTAATTCTTCAGAAGAATGTTTGCATTTGGGATTGGACGAATTCACTGTTATCTATCATTTTTTAATTGTCTAATTTTTTCGCAGATGCTATTAATGCAAATTTCCCAGCGGGTGAGTTGGTGCCTTTATTAATATTGGTTGGCGCTTTGGTGCTCTCATTGTACAATTTCGATTTAATTTGCGAAGAATGGATTATTCACTAGGACTTTACACGAACCCTACTTTGATTCACGCTTATTTAAGGAAATTATACAATCCTGGAGTTTCTCTCTAGGTACCTGATTTATGCACTAGATACTTCAATACCAGTGCCACTATTTTCTCTGGAAAAGATCTGTTCCGCTTTTGCTCTATTTCGTTCTACTTTTTTGGCAATGTTTTGAGAAATGGCTTTATTTCCTGCTACTAGATGCTGGAGCTGGTCTTATTTCGTGTGATGTAATTGATCCCAACGGTCGACGAGATGCCATCAAGCCACGTATCACACGCCCTGATGAAGACGGTCCATTCCTCATTGAATACACCCCGAAAATCGAGGGTCCACACAAGGTAGAGGTCAATTTTGTTGGACAACCAATCAATAAGTCGCCCTTCCCTGTCAATGTTGGTCCTCGTAAGTTCAAAATAACATTTTATTAAACATCTCGTGGTGATTTTTTCAAAAATAATCCTGGTGAAATTGAATCAGGTGAATCGGGAAAAGGCAAGTGTAATAGCAAATGCACGAGAAATTTGAATATTTCTTATTCGCTTGTTGCATGGGCCCTCCAAAGTGCACGTTCTGAAAAATGTGTAGTAAGCATCATGGCCTGTCCATTGGTGAAACACTTCATGCTAAGAGGCCTATTTTTTATTGGTGAAAATCATAGCTGCGGCATTAGCGAACCTAAAGACTGCCGAGGCATTAAGTGCTCAAAGACCTGCAGTTGAGAAACCTAAGGGCCAAGGACCCCAATTCAAGATACCGGGAGCTCCTCAAGTTCCTCCGGATGAAATTCAAAAGTCTCAGTCAGGTACGGCGAATGTTCCTAAAGGTCAGGGACCACAAGGGGATCCACAGGTTCCTGCTAAAAGTCAAGCTCCTGGTACCCAAGGTCCCGGAGCCCCTGGTAGGCAGGGCATGGATGGACCTCCTGTTAAGCCTCCTATTCAAGCTGGAATTGCTAACCTCCAAGATGCATCTCCTGGACAGACTCCTTCAAGAACTCCAGGTGATCTGCATGCTTGAAAATGAACACTTCTTTGAAACGCCATCGAATAGGGATTGTGGTGGTCAGATGGGTGCATGCACTTTCAGACGCTTACACCCCTAATAGGCTGTTTTATTTGATTTTAGCGTGCAATGGCAGTCTAGCTTATGCTACAGGGCGCGGAGTTCAGGAGAAGGGTATTCGTGTAAATGATACTGCTGTCTTCCAAGTTCATACTGAAAAGGCCGGTGGACCCGCTGAGTTAGTTGTCAAACTCAGTCTTCCAGGTAAACAGAGTTCTTAAAATCAGTCAATTTCTACCACAACTTGGCAATATCTAATCCTTATTTCATAGATGGAGCTGTCGTACCAGTTAATGTTGTTAAAGAATCGGAGCATCTCTATACCTGCACACATGTCCCTAAACGTGCTGCGCAGTACACACTAGTAATCACATATGGAAACGAACATATTCGAAGCTCACCATTCAAAGTAAGACCATCCGTTCGTCTTTTATTTATTACCCCATGAGTACAAGATTTTGCAGACTGCTTTTGGCACCTGCAGATCAATGTTGGACCAGTTAAAGAATCGAAGATCCGTGCATTTGGTCCTGGTCTATCACACGGAGTAGTTAAGACTCCAAACCTCTTCACTGTCGTCTCAAATGATGAACCAGGCGCGATTGGTGCGTTCGATGCCAATATCTGAATTAGGGTTTCTGATTCACATGATGTTCACCACCTTGGCTTGTAATTTGATAGGTTTTCTAATTGAGGGTCCAAGCTCAGCCACAATTAAATGCGTTGACAATGGTGATACCTCAGCCTTGGTATCATATGAAGTCGACATGCCTGGTGAATACGCTATCCACGTTACATGCGACGATGAGGACATTCAGGGATCTCCATTTATGGCTACTGTTGAAGCACCACCTGGAATTGATGTGAATAAGGTAGGGCTCAATCTATAGTACCAACTCTTTACTCACTTATGTATCAACTTTTGACGTCCCTGCTCCTAATTATAGATCAACGTGTTCGGAAAGGGCATAAGTCAAACCCCAGGCGATGTTATCAAAGGAACTCAAACAGACTTCACAATTGATCTAACACAAGTGATGAACGTTGTGAATCAGATTGCTAATGCTAAGAAGGTGAAAGCGAAAGACTTGCTCTTTGTGGAATGTCGTGACTCCCTGGGAAAAGTTGTTCCTATTGAAGTAACAGAGAATGCAGCCGGCAAGTTCACCATAAAGTATACTCCAAAGAACATTGGTATTATCACTGTTCATATGGCCATTGATGGCCAGTGTCTGAAACAGTCGGGAACAAGAGTAGGTTTATCTTTGGATTTGTATATTTCCAGCTTTATTTGGTCTTATATATATTTTCTAATCCTCACCTAAGGTTCCAGTTGGTCTCGATGCTGTAGTGGGCGGAATCAAGCTCTATGGTCCTGGTTTAGAGTCGGCAAAGGTCAAGACTCCAACTCACTTTACCATGGATCTCAAAAATGTACCACAAGCTGACAATAGAAAGAAAATTATCTCTGAGACTGTTTTCCACATCACTGAAGAAGACGGTACTCCAATCATTCCTAAGGTCATTGACAACAATGATGGAACCTACAAAATTGAATACACGCCCGCTGACCATTCAACTGCTCTCGGAATCTCTGTTCTTGTTGCTGGAAGCCAAATTGCTCAGAGCCCCTACGTGGTACCAGTCAGCCCTGCTTTTGATACTTCAAAATTGAAGATCACTGGTTTGGATAGCAGTAAGTTTGTTTGTATAACATTTTCTTGTTGTCTTAAACGTATTCTGATGAAATTTAACCACTTAACTACCTGTGAATATTCAGAGGTTAAAGTTAATACGCCTCAACAGTTCCAAATTGAAACTCCAAGTGATTTACCAGCAGGAAAGGTTCCGACAGCGGTTATCAAACCGACTACATCAACAGGAACTGTTCCTGTGACAGTTAAGAAATCGCCCAAAGGTTTTGATGTGGATTACAACCTGCCAACACCGGGTGAATACACTGTTCAGGTGGCTTGTGATAAATACCCTGTCGATGGTCCATATAGTATAGAGGCTGTTCCAGCCACCCAGCAAGTTCCACCCAAAGGTGCACAACCTGCGAAAATTGCATCTCCGAGAATTATTCCTGGACAACCAATTGTACCGGTAGTTGCTGCACACAATGCAGCTTTGTCCAAATCTGGTGTATTGAAAGAACCAGTACCACTTCATACAGGTACTGTTGAGCCTATGCAGATCGTCTCACCACAAATGAAGACGCCTGTGAAACGATCAGCAGAAACAGGCCCACTACAATCACCGATTAAACCGAAAATGGCCAAACCTGAGGCTATTGTTAATGATGGTGTTGTGCCGACCAAAGTTGATACACACCAACAAGCTCAGCCTAGTCATCCAGGTAGTGTGCCTATGGCTCCTAGTGCCTCGAATCTATCTGGTACTGGTCCTCTTAGGCCTGAAAGCCAGCTCCCAGCTGGTCCCGGAACTCATGATCTTGATAGTCAGAATCCACCTAGACAGCCCACAGACTCCCCAAGCCAAACAAAAGCACCTTCAGGCTTGCCTCATGGAGCTGGTCAGCTTGTCGATGGACCGGAGGCTTTGCAAGGAAAGTTCCAACCAGATCCTCTTCTTGTCGGACCAGGCGAATATCGTAAACCACGACCACCAGTTCTACCTGAAGAAAAGGTATAGAGAAATTGGCAAGCTTGAGCATGGAACTGCATCCCCAATACGCTTGCATGAATCATCTCAACCAGCCTGCTACTAACACCATACATGTATATTTACTTAACAGGAACAGACTAAAATTAACAGCAATTGGCCTCAGCCTAGTCCTGATGAACCAGCTGGTGCAGTTACAGCTTATGGACCGGGTCTTGAAAAGGCTATGGCCACTATTCCCGCTGAATTCACTATTGATAGCACTAAGGCCACACCAGGTCCTCTTGCTGTCACCATTGAGGGTCCACAACAACCCACCGTGAACTGTATTGACAACGGGGATAAGACTTGTGGAGTCACATATGTACCTCCTATTCCTGGAGTCTATACAATTAATGTCCTCTATGATGGCAAGAAGCATATTCAGGGTAGTCCTTTCATGGTGCAAGTTTACCCTGTTGGTAAACTAGATCTCAATGTTGACAAGGTTAAAGCCTATGGACCTGGATTACAACCAACGGGTTCGTGCCTAGCTGTAGCATAGTCCTGCATGAACCTATTCTTTAATGCGTTTTTCTTGTTAAATTCATGTCTTTTTCTTCCCTTTAGTGTTTACAAGCATGCCATCTAGCATGTAGTTGGGTTATCTTATGTAATCTAATATTTCTTGTGATTTGTAGGTGTCTTTAAGGACTGTCTGTCTAAATTCATCGTCGATGCAAGAGAAATTGATACGTCTGGAGATGAACCCGTCACGGCTATCATCAAAGCGCCAGATGGTCGTAGATTTGCCTCCAATGTGGTCAATAGACGCGATGGAACATATCTTGTCACTTACTCTGCAATCATGGAAGGTGAGTATAGCTTGTTTGAACTCCGTTTGAATTCAACTTGAATCTCTTTAAAAAAATGATGATAGGTACTAGGAGAGCCTATTTGTTGGTATATTTCATTAAAAGATTAGCCGTGGTGAGATTACTATTACACTGAATGAAGCGATGACTCTCGTCAATTACTGAATTAGACCTAAGGCTGCCGAACTTTTGACCTCTCCTTTATGCGTTACCAAGCATTATCTAATAGATTATTTGGAATTCGTTGCCATTCCTATCGCTTGTATCTATTTGACATTTATATTGCATTTCACCGTGTCCATAAAACCCATCAGCATCATTTGTAAAAGTGCTATTAAATTAACCGAGTTGTTTATACATCAGGCGCTGATCTCGACACTTACCTTTTCCGCTTATTTTCCTATTTTCACGCCTTACGCCAGTTTGTTTTGTGTTCTAGGGGTTCAAGGAAGTACTTGTCTAATAATTTGGTTGCTTGTTTATCCAAGCAATCCTTTCCTTAAACCCCATGGGAGTTTAATTCTGGCATAGAAGTTCTAGAAACCTTTAAGTTTTTCTTCCATCATAGATTTGTACCACGAAAGTAGAAGGCCTTTATTTTGTCTTTTTTACCCAGCTTAGTTAGCTATTTTCACCATCTATGAAATCTTTAACATGAATCGGTGTATTTTAATCTTTCCAATTTTGCTCTGACAGGTCCGCACGCAATTGAAGTGGCCTATGGAGGAGTTCAAATACCTGGCAGTCCCTTCCAAGTAGAGGTTCACCCAGGCTTCGACGCTTCAAGAGTTCGTGCCTACGGTCCTGGCTTGGAGCCTTCAGGCCCTCATCTCATGCCCAACCTCAAGACAGAATTCACTGTAGACATGAGCGGATCTGGAAAGGGTGGTCTTGGACTTTCTATTGAGGGCCCTGCCGATGCCGCAATCAATTGCATCGATAATAAGGATGGAACATGTACCGTTGAGTACACTCCCACCATGGCTGGCACTCATGACATCCATCTGAAGTTCAATGATGTCGAAATTCCGAGTGCGTTTTCTTTAAAACTAACTTGAGTATTTCTCTCATTATCTTTATCGTCTTGTTTTCTTTCATCATGACCGATAATATGAATGTGGGGTCACAAAGAGTAGGAAGAGGTGCACTCGTTGAATAATAATTTCATTGAAAATTTATTTCCTTACCAAATTACACCTATTTACTTATCCAAATTGGTTCCATATGCTATTAATAAGTTTTGACCTCATGATTAGCATGTTTTCTCGTCACAGTTTGTTAGTATTACTTCGTCGGCAATTTATTAACCTTCCCCATTTTATACCCTGATTAACTAAAAAATCTCCATAGCTAACTCTTCTTGGTCTTTTAGAGACTGAGATATATATCTGTGTGCTGCATTGGTAACGAGGTTTCCTTGAGTGCAAACGTACTTGCTTTAACAACAAGAGTCTGCACTGTACCAATTTCTCTGACAATGACATGTGCGCAGTGTGTGGATATCGTGGGTGTTAAATCATGCAAGCAAGGGGAGCGCAATTCTAAGACTAAATGATTCATAAGAGAGGAGGGGGGGCTACTCACCACTTCGCACCATTACTCAGCGGTGGGGCTTTTGGCATAGTTACTCTGAAACACCGACGCAGTTCCTGCTTTGCTTCATTCTTATTAATTCAGCATGCTCTAGCACACGCCTTCTCTTCTGATCTCATTACTATGCGGCTAACTAAGCCATTATGAGAAGCTATAGTGAATAGCACACTTACCTGGGCCATGATTCCAGGTAGTAATTTATGCGAATTATGGACGCCGACAACCCCTATGTGATTTCCAAACCTGAGTTATTTTGGGCCTGTGCTTTTTGGAAGACATCTCTACCCTATCACCTCTCGATGTATTTCAGTGTTTTTGGTTGGCTTTGTCAACCTGACTTGTTGCAGTTTATTGGGTCTTGTTAGTCGTTTCAAGGAAAGGGAAGGCTAGCTTTTCGTAGTCACTCATTTTAGCAAGTACCTTGCATTTTTTGAAAATTAAAATGAAGTGAATAAGGATTACTGGGCTATCGTGAAACCCCATTTTATTTCTGAAATGTTAGAAATTTCTTGTGCATAAAAAAACTATTAAGACTTAGAAGACGGTATGATCCACGTGCGCTCAATGATGAAATATGCAAACAACTTCTAGGCAGCTGAAACATTTCGACGAGTGGTTGTCTTAATATAATTGAACTTTATACCTAAAAATCGAGAGTAAATATTGTATAAGTATTTAGTTGTCCTTCCAATTATGCAGAAATGTGAATTAATTTTCCCTTGATAAGCATTTCATAGAAGGAAAGCGTTGACCTTTAATGGTTACTTTCAAGTATTTGCCAAAATCTTTCTTTTGACCTTTTACACTCAAGTAATTTGCCATAATTGTGTTATAGCTGACAAGAGTAGCCCTATTAAAGAAAGGATGTCGAGGGCCATTTAAATGAATTATCCTAACAATTGGAATTTAAAAATTATTTGTAAATTTAGGATTGGTAAAAAAACAACCTTCAAATCTTTTTAATCGCAATAGAAAATAGACGAAGGCCCATTTTGTAATCTGACTGTATAAAATGGTACTTAGCGGGAGTATTCAGTGGAACAGATCACATCTCTCTCCTTGGAGTTTCATAATAAAATACTATTTTGCACAGAATGGGCATTAATATTATTTATTAGAATTAAAATAAGCTATCGTTATATGCATTCTCCTTTTCAAATCGTTACCAAGCGAGCATTTCCCCTACTTGGCTCTTTTAACCACTATAGACAGTCCATTCCACGTGAGAATCCAAGGAAATGCTGATGTGAGCAAAGTTCGTTGCTACGGCCCTGGTTTGGAACCGAACAAAGTTCGTGCCTCTGTACCTGCCTCCTTCTTTGCTGATACAACCCAAGCTGGCAACGCTCCCATTGAGGTAAAAACAGCAACTTCAACTTCTGTTTTCTCTTTGGCCTTTTCTCTTTTCGGGTCCTTTGTTCTAAGTTTTACACATGTACACGCACGCACGCACACACACACATACTTGCTGTCTTTAAATAAGGTCGATATTTCTTTCTCTAGTAAAAGCAACACCGGAATAGTTAGAAGTTATAAGATCGTGTGCTATAGAAATTGTGTAAATTTTAAAAACTGATTTCAGGGTCACTAAAGCAACTACTCAGTACGTGTGTGTGTGACGTCATTCGAAAATGGTAAATGTCTAGCTTGAAATACTGTTAAGTCCACCCCTTGTCTCTTCTTGTGATTAGATTTTCATTTTCTATTAATTAACAAAAATAACTGCAAAGCTTTGCGGTTATGTATTAGAAAGGAAATAGACAGCTAACACTTAGCTCAAATCCTCTTCATTTTGTCTAACGATTAATTAAAATTGTCACCAATACTCAGTTAACGGCTGACCAATGGAGCCTTTTTTTAATCAGACTTCAAGATAATCACATCCAGAGCTATGCTAGTGCGAGATTGCATATCCTGCAATGTTAAGCTGACATTTCCGTCCGAGATAATGCAAATGACTTACATAGAAATTGCAAGATACCAGGACTTGTCACCACCGTGGAGAATTTATGGTTGTTAATTCAAAGCACATAAGGAGAAGCCTTTGAATTGCATCCAGATGTGGGTGTTTTAATCACATAGTCAGAATATTGACTTGGGCTACGTACACGGCGCGTATCAAGTAAGCAGTATACTTCAGTCAAATGAGAAGTGGTAATTCCTGCTTCAATATTTGAAGTGACTTTTTAGTGCTACTGCATTAGGGTTTTAATTCTTTGTCTTCATTTTGATCTTATAGTAGTTGTTGAGAGCTATTTACTAAACTAACAGTTTTTTATTATTGTCCTCTTTACATTGCTCGGCAGTACAAGATCTATACAAAAACGGTGTACATTAGACGCAAAGTATGTGAGAATAACATTTGCCAGTGAAGGTGAAAAGTGGGTGAAAGAAAGCATGAATAGTCATTAGGTGGTCCATTGAGAATGCCCTGTTGCATACAGTTATCTCTTCTCCACCCAAAAGATGAGAGGGGGGGAGAGAGAGTAAAGAATGTGCTCACGTAAATAAGCCAGCAGAAATGAAAATCAAGTAGTGGCGCCGTTGGATCCATGCCAGGTGTTACTTTGTGGTTATGTGTGTGAGCAATTTGGGTGAGTGTGAGAAAAGGTGAATGAGCTATGATTTGTTGTGTATACTTCTCTTGTTTTATCGCACTCTGGTGCATCTCTATGACGCATTTTCTCTGTCTTCTTAAAAGGTTGTCTTGCATATCAGAAGGTGCGCCATCATTTAAACGGGTGTTTTTACGTTCTTCCATTTGCAAATATACTAACTTACCTTATCAGACAGTGGCGTTTTAATTTGATTGATCTATTGCGATCGAACACTGTAGGAATGTGGCGGTTTGTCGAGAAATGTTACATTGCTGACACTATGCAACGTAGTTTCTCATTAATCAGGCCATTTGTTTGAATAAGGTAATCGCACAAAGAAATTGAATAGTTGCAAACATTGATGAGAACATAAGTAAATAAAGAAACACGAGAGAAATGGAACTAGGGCACTATTTTGTGGCTCCGTTTGTCGTTTTCCCATACCCAATAGGAAAATTTCGCTATTGAAATTCCCTTCTACGGTCTTATTTATTATAATATTGAGATTCAATTTATTTTATTCTGACAGTACCATCAGCGATAGTGTAGTAGTTAATGTATGCTACTGTCGAGTCAGTGCTGGCAATATAGATTTCATTATCACACATTCTACGACGTGGATGAATAACTACAAGGGCTGCTTTTGTTCAGCAATAGAACTGATGAAAGTAAAGTCTCCAGTTGCGTGGATGCCATTCTCCTTTTCAAGTCAATTGGCGTTAGCACCTCCTCATTACTTTCATTCATATTTGTATATCATTTGAAAGGATTGATTTCTTTAATTAAAAAGTTGTGTTTTTTCAAGGAAAAAGCCGTTTGGCAGTTTCCTAACTTAAAAACCAGTAAGCTATCCTCCCAACCCCGAAAATATGCATGGTTAACACCCTAAATGGAGAATTAGACGAATCCGCTTAATTCGTGAGAATTATTCATACCTAAGCCTTAATGTACTCAAAGGTCATTTTTTGTATTAATTTACGAAGAGAGTAACTTAAACTCAGACGTAGGGGTGCTTATGAATAGGACCACCACAGTGTAACTAAGTGACAATTTGATTTTGTGAATAATGGTGCTCAGACAGAAATTGTAAAATTATGACAGAAATCGACTCTTGATGTTTCCTTGTCAGTGAATTAGTTTAATTTGATTTCTTTCTCTCTGATGCACAAGGTATTGTGATGCTTTGGATTCCTTGGAACTAGCTGAACTAGTCTCTTTTTGTATCAGCATTCAAAATTTTGCTATTTATGGACGTTAAACGAATTGAGCCTGCTTCTGTTGGAAATCGGTGTCATCCTTTCGGAAACAATGTCTGCCTTCTATACAAGCTACCAAGCATGTGCATCTAGAACTTGGGTGGGATTGAATGACTTTTATTTCCTCTCATCTGTTTTGCTTTTCATCCAGGCAACCTTTACGCCAGTTCCAGGAGCAGCCCCTATTCCAGCCGCCGTCAATCCAATGCCGAATCAACCCGGTCTCTATGAATGCACCTACATCCCACAAGCTGTGGGCCCCTGTCAAGTTGATGTCAGTTGTGAGGGCAAACCGGTCATCGGGTCACCCTTCAAAATTCCGGTTCGACCTACCACTGAGCCTGAGAAAGTCCGTCTTACTGGAGCAGGAATTCGTGGACCTGTCCAAGCCAGTATGCCATCCACTTTCACGGTGGATGCTACAGATGCTGGTGTGGGAGATCTCAAGCTTGATGTCATGGTAGGTTAATCGTAAGTTACTTAACGCGAACTTGTAATCTAGAGTCAATTTATCTAAGTCTTGGGTTTCGTCTAGGACCCCGTTGGACACAGCCTACCAATTAGTGTGATCCCTATCACCCCTGAAGAGTTAGAGAAAGTGAATTCAGTCCCCGTCCAAAAGAAGGCTCCCCAAATGGCGACAGACGGCACTCCAATCAATGCGGAATCTGGCTTGCTTGCTTGTACCTACGAACCCTTCATTGTCGGTGAACACAAGATCCATGTTATGTATGCTGGCACTGAAATTCCGGAAAGTCCTTTTGTTTTCGAATCTGTTCCCGTGGGTCGAGCTGATCTCTGCCAGATAAAGGGTGAGTTTGCCTCAGTATTGTTCATTCAATTATCATTCTCGTCAAAGGAAACTTGCATAAGTGGCTGGAATTGGTTTTCAGTATTCAGGTAGTACAACACACATTTATAAGGGCCTGGCCACTTCCTTCCTTCTTTTCCAAAGTCAGAGCAAGCAGGATGACTGTGGCTAAAATGACTTGAAATCTTTCAATGAGTCTCCCGCTGTTGTGGTAATCCCACAGTAATATCTAGTGTTCCCAATACCTGACGATTATATGGGTTCAATTCGTCCTGGAGACCACTTTTGTAAAAGGGAGTATTTAACCGTCTATTGGAACCCTCTTTACCTTCATTTACAATGGCGTTTGCAAATACGCCTTATTTACACCGAATATTATTATGACTATTTCTTTCTAATAATATTAAATTTTTCGTGATTGGGCAATCGTATGAAGATATTGCAACATTTCCAAGTATGTGCAAGTAATGAATAAAGATATTGTTGTGTCAGACACACTAATTGCTTTGATCAGAAAAATCCTGAATAATTGCTTGTCTCGAGGTTATTAGTCAATTTGGCAAAAATTTAAGCAAAATGCCGACCTTTTGGACTGATATCTGTTCTTCACCCTGTCTGTGTGGCAAGTGTCTCTCAGAGGCGACCTTTGTAGTTCGGAGAAATAAAATGCTGGAATTACATTTTATTTTTAACAAAAGACTCTCTTTATTATTTCTCTTGGTTCATGTTGAGTAACGAGCCATATTTTGTCAACATAGATCTTATGAAGAGCAAATGTTCGATAATATGTTCGTTCTATTTAGTTTTAATTTATTCCGATGTGCAAACTGATAATACCCCATATTTACGCATTTCTTAGCTCGCGAAATCCCTCACCTAACAGTGTGCTCAATTAATCTTTGATGTAACTTTGTTCCAAATTCGTATTATGTACTACATTACTCTCTCTCTCTCCCTCCCTCTCCAATTGTCGTGTAAACATCACACAAAGATGCCAAAGAACTATTCAAATTCCTACTGAACTTATTTGTCTCTTAGGTCTAATATTTGAATTCTCGAATGCACTTGAATTGCATTTATTTGTTTAAATAATATTCGTGATTTTGGTTTGCACTCAAATGGTGTTACTCTGCCAAAGTCCAAAGTGTGTGTTTGTTTCTAAATTCTTAATCTCCCAAGTGAACAAGTAGGAGGAGGGAGGTGATGAGAAGTTTCCAACTTTTTTTGTGCGTATGTAAAAAATGAGTAGTTGAGGTGGTTAAATAAGTCACTTGAATTGTTAAACAGGTAGTCATTTGCATTTAATGCACACTCGTTCGATACCTTATTAGATTAGGCTAGCGCACAATCTTTTTTGTAGATTGCATCTCTGTGGGTATTTACTTTCGGTAAAGTGAGTTTATTACATCACTCCTCCCTCGTTGTTTTTTTTTTTTGATGATGTGAGTAATTGAATCGGATGGTCATCAGCATTTCAAACGAATTAAAGCAAGTGGTTACTCATCTTGGTCCCACATTTTACGACTTTAAAAGCGGATTGCCATTTCTTGTGGGCTGGTAAGGTCTTGTTATCACCTACGTCATTAACTCTAGGACTGACTTAGTTCCAGCTAGGAGTTCAGAATAGGCAATGTGATGAAGATGGCGTGAATGCTTTTTGGTTGAGACGACTGAAAGGACCCAGGAACCAGGCCCCATCGTATGGTTGAGCGAGGGCGAGAGAGAGAGAAAGCGAAAGAAATGAGGAAAAATTAACGGTCAGAGTGTCTGTGTGTCTGTGTGTGTGTATGCGTGTGCGTGTGTGTGTGTGCGTGCGTGTGTGTGTGAGTCATGGGTAGGCATTGAGCGAGTAAAAACTATAGCGCTAAATGACATAGGCAAAAACATCTGAGTCTCTGGAAGATAGAAACGAGTGAAATCACTAAGCTTCAGGCGCGCTTCGATCAAGACGGTTGAAATACAGGGATTTCAGTCAGATTACCCAAGCATTTTAATGTTTGTGTAGCTTTGAATATTCTCTGTTCGAATAAGCGGGTTTTTCGAAAATAATTTGGTGAAGAATTTTATTGTGTAACTCATCCAGGGGGGGGGCTGAATAGATGAGGTTTATATGCATTGGTATTAATGAATGATCTGAATCTGCAACGATAACTACAGTTTATTCGGAGACAAAATCCAAACCAATAATGCTTGAACTGAACCTTAGCAGTGTTGATTTTTTTCGATATTGATTAAGAGAGATATACATCCTCAGATTGGCCAGATTTCGGTTTCCCTCGCTATCCCTTTCAAAGGTGTACTGAACTCTCTTTCAAACTGGTTACTGACCTTTTTCTGCTGTTTGATCTTTCAGGAGAAGTAAAGCCATTAATTGGTGTCGGAGATGAGACAAGCGTGACAGTTGACACATCCAAAGCTGGTCCTGGTAATCTGATGTGCAGAGCCATTCAAGTGATCAACGGTCGCCCTATCGACTTGCCAACAGAAGTTGAAGTTAACGATGATGGAACATCCACCGCTTACTTCATTCCGAAGGAAAAAGGACCAGTTCAAGTGGAACTCCGATTTGGTGGTCAGCTCATTCCAAATGGAAAATACACTCAGACGGTACATTCAGTTTCAATAGCCATTCTTTGTTATTTTTTTATATTTTAGTTGGCATGGTGCTGAGAGAAGCCTAGCTCTTTATGTTCGAAGTGTGAAGGACAATATGAGCGTGTCTGCGACACAACTCTGCTTTATCTAGTTACTATTCATTGTCTAGATGTCTGTCTCTATTCTACGATCCATGTCACATTTCTAGCCATGTTGTGTCTCTTGATCGAAATCCATTTATGTGCATTCTTATAGAGACTTTTTAACTATTAATTAGTGAGCTTCCAGCGCCACTTATACTGGTGAGTGGGTTAAAGTAGATAGTTTTTAAGTAATTGATCTATTGATACCGCTTACATTTTTTCCATCGGGCATCTGTCTGACTCCGATGTTATCTCTCGGCGCAATTGTGTGCTAGCTCCTACTTCAATCGCATTCCTTTTCTGTATATTCCTTCATACTTTATTTTTATCCTTCGCCAACGTTGTCATCACATTTACGAGCAACAGATTTACAGTATTTTTCAATTCATTCATCACTCTTTGTTTTAGGCTGTCTCGGTAGAGGAGTTGGATATGCCAGTGGTAAGTAACACCGTGTTTTTTCACATTGCTGATAAATTGATTAAATTTTCATTGTTATTTAGCAGTATATTGGTCTATTTAGACTCCAATTCAAGCCCACTATACACCAGTTGAGTTCAATCTCGTGGTCTCTGGAAAAGACGATCATTCTCTTCAGGGTAATCTACTAATTTCTTTACCTAGTATATTAGTACCTCAACTTTGATGTAATCTTTCTAATGTTCGTACTCTTCCAGCTGTGGTAGTAAGGCCTTCAGGTATGAAAGATCAAGTTGAAATCAAGGAGGATAAAGATGGAATGGCTAAGGTGCAGTACCATCCAAAGGAACGTGGAATGCATGAATTGCATGTGACAACTGTCGCTCCTGGATCCGATCTTCGGATGCCATTAAAGGGTAGTCCCTACAAATTCTTCGTGGACAATGCTGCCAGTGGAAATGTAACTGCGTATGGACCTGGTCTCAGTCACGGAGTCACTGGTCAACCCGCTGAATTCACCGTTGATATGAAGAATGTTGGAGCTGGTAGGTTTTCACGCTTTTCCCAAAGCTCTCCATGTTCTTGGGTGAATAAGTCAGCAGTTATTTGGTGGGCTAATGAACATACTACTTTATTAACTTAATAGTAGCTGCAGATTCCGATGAACCGAGTAAGTAATCGAGCCGCATGTGACCTCAATCATTGGCCGTCTGATCAAATTTTCTGGCTTCAAATTAATTTTAAGCTTGAAGCTATGTCCTCCTTCTCTTGCATGACATAAAAATACAGCCTCCACTACCCAAGCACACCGTTCCAATATGTACATTTACAAATCGTACACCCCTTGCTTTCAAAAACTAATTTAACCCTACATCAGCTGAATAATTTTTTTATTCATTACTAATAAGGCGAGTCCATTTCTTAAATTTGCTTAGAGTGGGAGACAAATTTCATTTGAAGCCTAATTGAAGCATGGTTAAAGTTAAAGTAGCATATACTTAAAATTAATGAGAAGATATAACGCCATTGATTTCTTCTTATCTCTCCCTTTCTCTCCCTCTCTCTCTGTGCATGCTCGACAGGAGGCTTGTCTGTATCTGTGGAAGGTCCTTCCAAAGTGGAGATCAAATGTACGGAGAATGGTGATGGAACATGTCGTGTTGCCTACTGTCCCATGGTTCCTGGCGAATATACAATTAACTTGAAGTTCATGGATCGACCGATTTCGGGATCGCCTTTTGTCGCTAAAATCACTGGTTAAGTGTGGTTACCAAGACATTTTCTTAGCAAACCTTTAGCTGACTTAATTACTTTCTTGGTTAACCATTTTAGGTGAACCAAAGAAGAGAGCATTGATGAATATGACCTCGATGACCTCAATGACATTTGATGCTGGAATTGATGATATTTCGCTTCTCACGGCAACTGTGACAAGTCCATCTGGGCGTGAGGAGCCTTGTGTACTCAAGAAACTCCCGAACAACAGAATGGGTATGAGAAATGAATATTAATTTCCCCTTCTCCTTGCCAACTTATTACATGCTATTATCATTACTGCTTTATCCGTAAATTTCCAGTTGAATGAAAGCAGTTTTCATCTTTAAATATTGCTTGAAGTAACGCTGATCGAAACGCCTCTTTGAGTCAGCTCCCAAGTCATGACAGATTTCAGTTCTCAAAGCAGTTCTAAACTATGCTTAAACTTGACTTTAAGCCAGCAATCTTGTGCATACGAACTTAAAGTTTTAGCTTACTTATAAGTTCACTGAATTGGTAAGCGATTTATAGTAAGTGGTCATTTTTATTAAAGCATCTTTCCGCCTCAATGGCATCGTGTGAAGTGTCCTCCAAGGGTAATAGCTGAAGCATATAGCACGGTTACTGGAATTCGCCTAACAGTAATAAAGGACGCTAGGTCGAGATATGAACCCGTGTGCGACATGATCTGATTATTTCATATGTAAATTTATATTTTAAAAGTAAACAAAAGGATTCTAATAAAAACGCTCGGTTCTAGTGAAAATTACTGTTTTCTAACAATTAATTTACGATTTTATATTCTCTTGAATTAAACTTATATCCCTTCTCATCCTAGGCATCTCCTTCACTCCAAAGGAGAATGGCGAACATTTGGTCAATGTCTTCAAAGCCGGCAAACATATTCCCAAGAGTCCCTTCAAGGTCAATGTGTCTCGGGAGGATGTTGGTGATCCAACTCGTGTCCGCGTCATCTGGCCCGAAGGTGTTCAACCCATGGCCAACCAACGCAACGAGTTCTTGGTTGATAGTAAGAATGCTGGTAAGTTTTACAGACTTGAGTTGTCAAAAACGTCCTTATCACGTTTCTGATGTATTTCCCATTTCAACTAGGCTATGCTACCTTGAGTCTATCAATTGAAGGACCAAGCAAAGCAGAGATTGAGTGTATCGATAACAGTGATGGAACCTGCACCGTAGCCTACTGTCCAACTGAACCGGGCACATACCTGGTGAATGTGCGTTATGCTGATCAGCATGTACCTGGAAGTCCTTTCACTGTGCATGTTGGAGGTGAACCCTCACAGAGAATGATTCAACGTATTGTTCGCAGCCGACAAGCATTTGATGCCACTCAAGTTGGCAGTGAATGCACTTTCTCCATCCGAATCCCAAGTACGTTTTACTACGACTTCTGCCATTTGAAAGCTTAATTTGTCTACTACTAGTTCAGTGATTATCAATTTGGGAAATGTATTTTCATATCATAATCTTGTTGATAGAAAACTATGGGTTTCACGCTATGGAGGACTACTTAAAGATCAATGGATAGGCAAAGTTAAGGTTTTAGTTAACTCTGGGAAGGAGAAAAGCCGAACTCATAATTAGCTGAAAGCTTCTCACAATATACGCTTCTATTATTGAAGATAGACTTTCAAATCCTGTCTTTCATTGGATGATTCAAAAACATGCTTAAGAGAAGTAAATATCTACGCTTTTCATGCTGGTGATTTCAATCACTCTTACATAGCCATATTTTGGTTAATCAGTTGTTAACTCGCCACCTAGAAATTTTTACATTTCAAACGCTTACTATTTCGTTTCCTTGAAAATATACCCATTCTTGAGCGAAGTTAATTTTTCCACAAATGTATTGAGAGCCTATTATCGTTGATACTTGCGCTAAAGTTCACTTTTCACCAATTAGTGTTAGTCATAAACTTAACTGCAAGTGACCAATAGAAAGTAGCATAAATTTTCTTTTTCTAATTAAATTACTTAAAGTGGTTATTTATCTGAGCCTGGATTTATTGATCGATGGTGCACTTTATAGACATGTAAAGTGATACCATCTTGAGCACGAGAGCTCTTGATATACTCATTGGATGTCACGACTTCTATCACATATACCTAAGTGGGGAAAAAACTGCAGGTTTGAAAAAAATACCTCAAGGTTCTCTCACGAGCTTTGGTTTTAGACCTTGTTTTATGTTACAGTTTACAGACCTAGGCATTGAGTAATTAGACCCACTATTGCTAAAAGTGCTGAGAAATTTGCAAAGAGGGTTTTGTTGACAGGAGTAAGATCATCTGTTAATTGATCAACATGAACGAAGTATACCTTTCATTTTACCTTGTTCTATCAAGGCTTCCAATTTCGTGGCATCCAGCTGTGTGCAAGTTGCCTTTTAGTTGAAATGCATCTTTATGGTCAAAATAGTGTTCAACAATGACACAAGTTTATGGTTTGAATGGTAAGTGTGTGCCATAAGCTAATTAGTCACAAATTCCAAAAATCGATAATTATACCGTGGTTGACTAAATGATGGACTTTACTCTAATATTGGAAAGACAACAACCCGGCAATTTGACACATTTTAAAAAATCTGCAAATTTTTTTTGAAAACCTAAAAATGAATTAATAACTAAGTTTTTCTCTTGTAAAATTTTGCAAATTTATCCAACAGTATGTTTGCAAGGGTAGATTTTAGCCACATTCTTGAATGGTAATGAGCTCTAGTGACGACAGTTGCAATGAATGCCAGTTTCCATGAGCGAAGTTTTGCCTTTATTTGTGTATTCGTAATTGCTTGTCTAAAAAATAGGTTTTATTTAGTTCTAAGTAGACGTAAGGAAATGCATTCGGGATTAAAAGTGTTTAATCAAATCGAAGTCACGCTCTGAGTCCCCTCTCTCTAGTTATTTCTAACGAACTGAATTTTAAAATGGTTTTTGAAGTAAAGTATAGGCAAGTCTTGAAATATCAGGTACTCATGTGTGCAAGATCTGCAGTCAAATTGTGTACTCCCTTTCATTTGTGGTAGCAGGTTGCTTGCCAACGCCTTGGAAGCATGTGCTTTCAAAAGTCCTGTCATCACTATCACTCCGGCACTCTTTTGCTCACCCTCATCTATTCCCTACCTCTATCTGCAGCCCATTGATCAAGTGTTTTAATTTAACTTTGACCTGATCTCTTAGGCGACATTCGAGAAATCACTGGAGAAGTGTACTCGCCATCTGGCAAGCATATTCCTTGCGAAATCATTCGGATTGATGATGAGAAAATCAGCATCCGATTTGTGCCTCAAGAACGTGGTATCCATACAGTCAATATTTATAACCGTGGCGTTCACATACCTGGTATGTTTGATAATTTATTGGTGATTTAGTTAATTAAACCTAGAGTATAGGAATGATTTCTTGTTATAATTACTTTAAATTCATGATAATTCTGTAATTAATCAAGCGTGTAATAACCTTTATTTGGTTTTTATTTTACAAAACAACCAATCAATATATTCATTTAGGAAGTCCATTCCAGTTCACTATTGGACAACCTGCAGAAGGTGGAGCAGATAAAGTTCGCGTCTCTGGTCGTGGTTTGGAATACGGTGAAGTGAATGAAGTAAATGAATTCACTATTTATACTCATGAGGCTGGTGCTGGTGGGCTCTCGATTACAATTGAAGGTCCAAGCAAAGCTGAGATCTCATTCAAAGTAAATTTAAGCTTACATTTCATCCAATTTTATAACATACAACTATTTTAACTTCGAATTTGCTTCTAACAGGATCACCAAGATGGCTCTTGCTCCGTCTACTACAAGGTTCGCCGTCCTGGAGAGTATATCTGTACAATCAAGTTCGCCGATGAGAATATTCCATTCTCACCCTTCCGCATTTTCGTCACTGATCCCAGAGATGGAGGCCGAACTGATGCCTATGAGGTACCTATCCAGTTCACATCCAACGATAGACTCACTCATGAACGTGAGACCACTGAGCTATGTGGTCCAGTGGCTTTTACGGTTCGCTGCCTAGATGCAGATCATGTTCTCGAAGCTATGGTGGAAGCACCTTCTAAGACCATCGAACCAGCCACTGTGGGAAAACTTGATGGCGATCAGCATGTTGTGCGTTTCATTCCGCATGAGAGTGGAACCCACTTCGTGAGGGTCTACCTTATCCCTGAAAATGAGGCTCACTTGGGACCCCGAGCTCCTCACGCCAAGGAGATTGATGGATCGCCTTTCCATATATTTGTCGGTGGCAATATGGCTGATCCTAGCACCGTCTATGCCACTGGTGATGGACTTTCGCATGGCTCTGTTGGTAAGTACTTGCTACTAATTAATTAGAAGTAGTTGGAGGCAAATTGGACTGACATGCTGATTATTTTTCAAGGCGTCAAGAACAAGTTCTTCGTAAGCACTGCTAACGCTGGAAAGGGCTTGTTGAGTGTGGTCGTGGATGGACCTTCAAAAGTTCAAATCACCTGTGAAGAACGTCCAGATGGTTATGAATTCTCCTATGTCCCTACCCTTCCTGGTGATTATAAGATTAGCATCAAATATGGTGGGAATTTCGACATTTGCGGCTCACCATTCGTTGTGCGTTTAAATTTTTAACTTTCTTATTCCTTCGTTTGTCATTTGGTATTCAGTTCTTTCATTGGCATTTAGGCTCGTATAACTGGATCTCCAATGGGAGATATAATGCATGAAGAAAATCACGAACCATCCACCATTGTGCTTGATACAGTAACCAAAACTATTACCAGCCACACATATGAAGCATCCAACGCAATTTCTAAGGGTGTTGCGCAGAATGTTAACTGCTCTGGACTTGGGCTTAAGCGTGGTATCGTTGGAAGACAGAACCAATTCTTTATTGATGCTAGCAAGGCTGGTTAGTTTCACATCTTCTTTTATTCTTAGAACAGTGAGAAAGACACAAATAATGAGAGGTATTCTTGTGTTTTTAGGTAACGCAATGTTGTTGGCAGGAATGATGGGTCCTGAGCATCCATGTGAACGCTTTGAAATTGTCCACAATGGGAACAATATGTTTACTGTGACGTATAACGTTAGTAAAGTTGGCCAATATTGGTTGTCGGTTATGTGGGGCAATCAGCACATCCCCGGAAGCCCATTCCTAGTTGATGTCGCTCCTTAAACCTTGTGGCAATACTAATTGAGCAAATCAAGTCAACTTCCACGCCATACTGCCCGTGCTTCTTCCATTCAACTGCTGAAATTTCTTTATCGCCTATCTTTTTCCCTTACTCGCAATTTTGCAGATATACTCCAAGTCTTTGTCTTATTTGTCTGTTAGTCCTCTTTCTCATGTTCTCTATTTTATTGTTTTGAAAATGATTTCCCGTTTTTTTTCTGAATTCTTTGTTCTACTTACTTTAAATTGAACACATCTTGTATCTGCTTTGAAGTCTTCTTTGCTGATGCTATCTATCCTGTGCCTTTGTTTTCCATAATTTATTGTTACTATCGCACCCATTTGCAGACCCTTCAATATACGCCAATTTTATTCAATGCAATCTTGTGGGCAAATCGCAGTAGTCAAAGTATATTTGAGAATCTTTACGATCACTTCCAGTACAGTCATTGCTAAATTTATACATTAACTAACCTACTTGTACAGAAGTGTAGATATCAGTATTTGTTAAGGCTCCCTTTTATGCAACTCTCGAGCGAATGTAAGAAACAACTTGCATTTAAACCTTCTTGACACTAATATAAATCATGATTCAGCCATTTATAAAAGAACTCCGCTAATTTACCCTTTATGTTGAAGAATTTCTCAGTGGTCGTTTATCCAGTTACGATTACGTTTCTCTGCTTTAGAATAAGCATTTACCGTGAAAAATTATTAAATCTAACATTTTGTTAACTTGTAAGTGCATTATTATTTTGTATTTCTATATATTCGACTTCACTATAGCAAAACGTTTTGGTTAAAATGCCTATAGTTTTTAAATAAATTGTTCTAGCAAAGTTCTAATAGCGAGCCGTTAAAAATAATTCCACGATATACCTGTTAAACCTTAAGTTTCAAATTTGTAAGTGGCCTCCCCATATCACTATGGAGTACGCATTCCTAGCGCGATAGAACTGCTCAGCCGAACATTTTAGAGGGTGTGGTCATGCGTGCAGAGAACTTCTAGGTTGGTTGGCTATTAAGGTTCATTCAGATTAGCTCAAATGCATTCGAATACGAGTCGGATTTGCTGTGAGCATAATCTCAATAAACGCCATACATCCTGTTCGTTTTCTTCTACATCATTGAGATGTCAGCTAAAGGGCTAATGATAACTATCATAAAGCCTCCCATTTGAAATAAATAAACATCATTGGGATGGCTTATCTCATTTTGAGATCCTATCATTACTAGGATATTCTGTCATAGAGATTATCGAGGATATGTCAAGGCTAATTAGCGTAGCAATCCATTGTTAAAGTATTCTTACAACGGTTCTTGTCCGCTGGACAAATTGCATGAATTCAATACCAATATCAAAGAATCCACTGATGTGATTCTATGTTAAGCATCTATTTATATCAAATGGCAGACGTCTTGATGGTTATCATTAGCCCTTTAGTTGACTT